ATTGGCTGCAGACAGGCGACACTGTCCAGGAAAACATTTGGCTACAGACAGGTGACACTGTCCAGAACGGCAAAACAATTGGCAGCAGACAGGTGACACTATCCTGGAGGGCAAAACAATTGGCTGCAGACAGGTGACACTGTCCAGGATGGGAAAACAATTGACTGCAGACAGGTGACACTGTCCAGGACAGGAAAACAATTGGCTGCAGACAGGCGACACTGTCCAGGAAAACAATTGGCTACAGACAGGTGACACTGTCCAGGACGGGAAAACAGTTGGCTGCAGACAGGTGACACTGTCCAGGACAGGAAAAGAATTGGCTAAGGACAGGTGACACTGTCCAGGACCAGATAACAATTGGCTACAGACAGGCGACGCTGTCCAGGATAGGAAAACAGTTGTCTACAGACAGGTGACACTGTCCAGGACAAGAAAACAATTGGCTACAGACAGGTGACACTGTCCAGGACGGGAAAACAATTGGCTGCAGACAGGCGACACTGTCCAGGAAAACAATTGGCTACAGACAGGTGACTCTGTCCAGGACGGGAAAACAGTTGGCTGCAGACAGGTGACACTGTCCAGGAAAACATTTGGCTACAGACAGGTGACACTGTCCAGGACGGAAAAACAATTGGCTGCAGACAGGCGACACTGTCCAGGAAAACAATTGGCTACAGACAGGTGACACTGTCCAGGACAGGAAAACAATTGGCTACAGACAGGTGACACTGTCCAGGATAGGAAAACAGTTGTCTACAGACAGGTGACACTGTCCAGAACGGCAAAACAATTGGCAGCAGACAGGTGACACTATCCTGGACGGTAAAACAATTGGCTGCAGACAGGTGACACTGTCCAGGATGGGAAAACAATTGACTGCAGACAGGAGACACTGTCCAGGAAAACAATTGGCTACAGACAGGTGACACTGTCCAGGACAGGAAAACAATTGGCTGCAGACAGGTGACATTGTCCAGGACAGGAAAACAATTGGCTACAGACAGGTGACACTGTCTAGGACAGGAAAACAATTGGCTACAGACAGGTGACACTATCCAGGATGTAGAAACATTTGGTTACGCATAGGTGACACTATCCAGAATATGGAAACAGTTGTTTGAATACAGGTGACGCTATCCGGGACGCTGAAGCAGTTGGTTTGATACAGGTGACGATGTTCAGGAAGGGGAAATGATCAGTTACACAAAGGTGATACTATCCAGGAAGGGACGGACAGAAACAAATCGCCCACAATGAAACAGCAATCAAGGGCGGTAGTGCAATATTGTCAGTTCTACGTTTGTTTACGGAATTAATTAGTACATGATATGTAATGCATGTATCAAGTACACAAGCTGCATATATCGAACCTTTTATATCTAGTATGTCGAACTACGCTCCGCAATTTAATGTATTATATTGTGAACTACAAGCTTGGACAAGCTTGGTGGTCGTGTCAACCAATTCTACGGAATATGTTTCGTTTGTTGTTTGACGCTGCGACATGCAAGCTCCAGTCCACCATTACCTATTGCTTACATTAAACCTCGATAGCATACATCGTCTCGTAAGATAACGTCATCAGACTCTAAACAAAATGCAGGAAATGTCCGTCCAATTCTCTTCCATTGTCTGTTGTTTAACGCCGTTGTTTCCCAGCTATATGACGGCGGCTCCTCCTGTATGTCGTGCTTTCCATTGACAGGTTGCCTGGTGGTTTGCACTTTAATCAAGGACCTTGACTTTGACCGATGCAGATTTGTTATTCACGCTAATGTTATTGCAGTTGTTTTTGAAACTCTGTGTGTGTGTGTGTGTGTGTGTGTGTGTGTGTGTGTGTGTGTTCACCTGTCACACAGTTTTGATGCAAAATTGTAGAGTTACACTAACAATAGCACGTCGGAGAACTCATGCGGATCTGTTGATTCAACTTGGCATCAAGATGTTCTCATTCCATCATAGCAGATACGTTACTATGGCTGAAACAATGCCGATGCGACGTAAAACTTCAACCCACGCATTGCAGATTACATGATTTACATTACGCTAAGGAGTGAAATCAACATGTGGACTGCACGTGGTCAAACTGCCAGTTCCATTCCACTGATTCACACTTTCACTAGAAAGCACCTCATCCGTTTCATATTTGGATAGGTGCTACATTTGGTGACTAGACGCTGTCAGAAAATAGGAACGCCTTCAACTTTTACTTTCTGCGGAGTAATAATACTGACTGATTGACTGAGTTTGGTTTCATGCCGCTTTTTAGCAATATTCAAGCAAATCACGGCGGGGAACACCAGAAATGGGCTTCACACACCCGGGTCTTTGACGAGCCAACGATTTAACCCTTGCTACCCCACCGCCCCCGGGTACAGAAGTCCTGAGGTACAATCCTGCAAACACTTTCTACTGATATTAAATAAAATTGTCCTACGTTCCTGAATCAAACGTTAATGGATCGTCACCATAAAAGAACATTCAATGTGGTCAAAGCCTTCGTAAAGCTTTCAAAACGTGATTGGGATGACATATTAATGGAGAACACTTCCAAAGCAGCAAATGTTGCTTTTCTCTCATTTGTTCCAGATTTCTTGGTGACCAATTGACTTGCCGATGCTGGTGTTTGTAATGTGGGCCACCAGTTTGACTAGCTCGCCTTTTCGCAAAATCACCAGTCTCTTCACGATGTTCATGATATATTTGCGGCCATACAATTATCTCCACTTCCTTTGAATTCCCACAAGAAATGATAGCTACTATCACCATATGACAGTATTCTGAACTACCTTCATGACTAGGTTCCAGCAGTCAATTGTAAAAATGTGCTTGTTTTCAGTTGATCATACATTCTTCATGCACTTAACTGACAGCAATTTGATATTTTGAACAACATTGTGATAGTATTATGGTACTTTTGCAATACTAGTGATATAAATATTATTAATTCCAAACTCTTTTAATTCTTAAATTTGGCATGTCTTTTTGTATACAGCTCTGATCATTTACTTGGCATCCATAGTTTGTCAAGTGTGGTATCAGTGTCAGCTGTCAATGTGTCAACTATTTTGTGAAATGTACCAGGAACAAATTGTGTCAAAGTTCTCAAGCTATTTATCAGCGTCAGATATTGATAGTTGGTTTGTTACCAGTACTTCTAAGATGAGGACTCCATATTAACACTACTGTAGCCATGTCAAGGCAGAAAGAGTGGGTTTTACCTGATGTGTTATACAAAGACGTGTCTGATGGCAATGAATGACATATATATATGATTTTGACAAGAAAGTAAAACCCAAGTCAACATTATAGAGTAATATATTTATAGGATCAAATTACATCATCTTCAATATTACAAGAGATCATCCATGTTAATGCGTTGCAATTTTATTATTAAAAGACATCATATACTATACAGTTTTCCTCAAGTACAAAATGGCTTTGCAAGAAGGTAATCCCCTCTTTCTTTGCAACAAGGTGTAAGCATGTTATGCATAACCAATACCAAATAGGATGCATATAGCAAGAAGTTACTTAATAAAATTATCTTATGCAGTCTGCATTTGATAATGATCCCAAACAAGTAGTCAAATAGACGTAATACAATCCAAATATCAAAACAACATTACACTTGAACGTTCCTGATCATAAATTTGGAGGACTTGAGAACCAAGGAGTTATGCTGTAAAGTCAAAGTAGAGTACTGTCTATTTACAGAACCATAATTATCATACAATGTAACAACCAGACAATGTATGTATACTTATCATACCTTTCTGGTGGTAAGATGTAGGTTTTTATTTGTGGTTCAAATGCATCAGGAGGTATCACTGGGTATATAACAAAATGAACTACCTATTAAAAGTATGTTTTTAAAAATCTGAAGGGACGGACAGAAAATGTTTAAGTATGAAATGATATAAATTAACGGTACCAATGATTTCTGAAGTTTGCATTGTCAATTTGTTTTCTACAACTTGATCTGATAGGACGATTTAATGTATATTGTTCAAAGTTTATTACAAGTGCACAGTCTTTTCACTTCAAGTAAATCACTATTAAACAAGTAGAGGAATGGGAGTTGCAGTTCAGTTGAGCATGGTTTGAAGGAATGAGGATAAATAGAGTTGTACTAATCAGTTCAAACAGAATAAAAGAAACTGGTAATGTAACATGTTTATTTTTCACAAGTACTATAAAAAAAATGTCTGTATGTACAACTATTGGCAGTAATCAAAGTGGACCTCACAACTGAATGCTTCAAGGCCTGGTCCATTTTTAAAGAATCCTTTCCTTTCTTGATTCCAAACATGAATAATTTAATGTAATGTCAGATATAGTTGCATTATTAGACAAGATTCGAACACTAGCATTTGGTAACATAAAATCATGTAATGGGAAGAGTGCTTGAAGTTTATCTTCAACAGCTGCGTAACAACCACAGTTTGACTTACAACCTTGAACAAGCAAGAATAGTATTACAGCATTTTAGGAGGTTGTTATAATATTTTGACAGACCTGAACAGGTCTCAGAGTAAATTCATAGTCCCAAGATATGAGCCATCAGTGCATTACATATACAAATTATGAATATGATTAAGTGCAAAAGATTTACATGTGTTTTCATAATCAGCTTTGAAGAACTGATAACTTCAGGAAACCAGTGTGATCCCACCTCCTACAGCTTTAATGTCCATTAACAATAGCGAAAATCTATTCATCAGAAAATTAGCATCTGATATGTTGATTAGGATGTTTTCATGTATTTTGGTTAAGATGAAGAGTAGGATAAAAATAAATCCAACTTTTCTGGTACGTTTTTCTATCCACAAAACATCACTGCTCCTGCAGTGTTGACTAAGCCAATCTCCCATAAAAATGCTGACAAGCAAATATTTGTGTATGGATCTCTCTTCAGGTGTGCATCATAAGTAAACTAATAATTCTGCTACTACACTGATGAATTTATGTTGAAAATAACAGAAATCCTTCAATAAAAATATGCATTTATTACATTAAAAGTCCCACATTTGAACATTGTTATAGTCTCAACAAAGTGATTATCAAGTTTTCATATTATACTCATATGCAGATAAAAGGACACCTTCATTATAAAATTGGTATTACTCCTTACCTCTAAAAGCTTTCTTGCTGAATAAAATAACATCTCCTGCCGAGATGAGGAGATATTAACATAGTTCATGGCATGAATCCTATACATTCAACAAGAGACTTCATGGTTCTACATTCCGCTGCTGGAGCACACTACAAACTGATGCCCCAATGACCTCCACTAACATTACACCCAGAAGATAATCACAGATGTTCGGTTGCCTTGTGAAATGTTAGAAAAGGATTGTTTCAAATAAAAAATGCCTTCAAAAGGCTTCACAGAATTTCATGACCACTTTGATATCACTACATACAATGACATATATCACTCATGCGGCTCAATGCAATAAGCCGGAAACAATAACAATGAGCATTGCTCATAATTTCTCTCACACCCATACGCTAGCTTGCATACCAGTCATTCGAACAAGCTAAAATATTACTTTTTCTCAACCGGGCATTTAACAGGTCACAGGCAATGTTGAATTTTCTTCGGATTAGTGCAGTTTCCAGATGCTGCTCTGGCTGTACAATGATCACAGGCACCATTTTTGAATCTAGTATTTTCAAAACACGCTTAATAAAAATTATTTGAAAAATTATTGTGTACAAAGCCCTCCTTTAGCATGTAACACTCGGGGCCCTGGTGCACGAAGCCATCTTAGCCCTGAAGTGATCACAACTCCCATTCTTTTACAGAGGCGTACGATCATCTTAGGGCTAAGATCAATCTGCACAACAGAAACAGAGAATTTCTTGTTGATACATCTCGCTGACACATCAACATGTGTTACCAGACAAGAAAAATAAAGAACTGAATTTTTTTTAAAATAATCATTACATTCATCATATTGATATGTTCTTCCTCAATCAGAAATTAACCAGTAATATCAAGATCAGCCCAAAAGTCAAGGCTCTCGACAAAATGGGCCTTACACGCACTGTTTATCAGGAAGAAAATCCAACAAGGCTGGACCAGTGGAAAATAACATGCTTCTTGATCATGCGTGGACACAGTTTGCATATTAAGCACAGAACCTATATAATACAAAGTACAGTAAATATTAGTATACAAAGATAAATCATCAACAATTTACACTTCTCTATCCTATAATTTTGGTTCCTTTACAGTCAAGATAAAACGTATGCATCTGCAAGGAATACATCTATAATGCAATTACCTGCTACAAGGTACATCATTCTGGAGTATATCAGGTATACAAAGAGGGCTATTCACTTTACAAATGATTCAGTCAGAACTCTCAAAATAGAAACCCCATGATTGTACAATCACGAGACTTCAAAAAACATTTTTGGGACAAACAAAAAGATAAAAGAATTATTCATACACACAGCTTTGTTTCTTTGGGGAAAAAAAAGTCACTCTGTGAAAGAAGTATTGGAAGCTTAATTTATGAAGAACAAACACACATGTTGAGAAATAAACGTCACCAAGTGACTGGAATTATGAGCCGTAAATTAGGATTGAGCCAACAGGTAAGAAAAGAGTGGAAGTGGAGATTGAACATAATACACACACTCGCACAGACATGCACGCACACAATCAAAAGTTGAAGAGTGACAAGTGAGTGAGCTGATTATCGTGAAAGTGTGGAATTAATGGACTAGTCACAAACACACGCATTCAATAGTTACATGATTTACCACCTGATTGAAAGTGGGTTGTCTTATGCGCGAATGATAGGTCAAACACATGGTAGTAATAATATTCTGACTACCTATGTCTCTTGCGGGTATACTCGCACCAAACTCACAGTCCTCACCTCTCAGAGAGTAAATAAATAATACATTAAGTGCCTCGTCACACATCTAATATTCCATTCATTGTCAGCCTCTCTTTCAAACCTCATTATGGAAGCCGAAATGGCCAACCTACAAGCTTGGAGGAGGAAGGAAGCAAGCAGTTTGAACGTTATTAGTTGCAGAACGGTGTGGGCTACCACACAGGCAGATTGGTGGTGGATAGCGCACACTCTATGCCTGTACACAAACAGTAAAACAGTATCATTGAATCAGGGCTATGTACAATAAAATGTCAGTGTTTTCTATCTACACTACTTCAGTCGCAGATATTAAGAGTTGCTCAAACTGCATGCTTTCTTCATCTCTATATTTGGTCAGCGGGGTAACAGGGTGGGGTGGGTAAAGCCACAAATCCCCTCCCTCCCTCCCGCCCTGGTTAGTCTAAGGCAACACCAATCCCCTGCTATCCTCTGCCTCTGCAGACGCTCGTCCATCGTCGTCAATTGCTTTCGGAGGTGTTAGACAGATATTCATCTGACCGTGTGTGGCTCTCCAATGCTTTAATCATAGTCATGTCATGTGGTAATTCGGATTTACGTCGTAAAAGGGGCTTGTCTTTTGGTTTTTTCTTGGTAATCTGGAATAAAAAAGCAAAAAACATAAATGTGTGTAATTGTTAAACTGACCAGCAAATACAAACACAAAATCCTTAAAATTACAAATCAATCAAATGCATTTCTCATCAATTATCTTCTGAACCTTGCAATAATGCTTCTAGAATTTTAGCAAACAAATGCCTTATTTCATCGTACTGATTAATATTGAAAAGCATAATAAATCTTCATGACATGGTTTGACAAATTTAGACCAGTACAATAGCAATCTAGTCTAATACAAAAATAACAAAACAACAAGTATTCCTGGTTAAAGGTGCAACTAAGAAATTATTGCTTAACTCAAAATATGAACCCAATCAAATGAAAACCAGCTTTCCAACATCTGAGAATACATTCTGTCTTTACTTGCAGATGTTCCGTAAGCTGCCCTATTAAAGTGAAACTATCATTTAAAGTCAAAGGACACAGGACCAAGCCCCGGGTGAGGACAGCCAACAAATAATGCACAAAAGAAACACGAGTTGTTATTTGTATTTGTTTCAGTTACATCAACTTGTGATTTATCAGCAGTCAAGATGCAGGTACCGCCAGGATATCATTTCCATGTCACCAATCAGAGCAACTTTCTAACTAGCAACTTCTCTGTACTTTCAAAGATATTTCCACGTCAAGTGTTTCGATGTCAACAACAGTTTTCTTCTTAAGCCATGGGTTTAATATTTTGATGCACACGTCTTGTTATACAGATCCAATACATTTTCACAACTGTTAGCAAGGATTTCAAGTGATGTTAAATTTTGGAAAATTGCAATTTCATGTGATCAAATTTAAAGCTTGGCATGAACGTTCTGATGTGTATTGGAAAGAAAACTGGAACAACATATTAAATTTAAGTGAAGGAAATAGAAATGGCGGCAAGTTTGAATGTTTCTAAAGTAATGATTAGTTGTAGCTGTGTCGTTACTCTGGCGTAAACAGGCATGCATAGAATCTTAATAAATCAAGCTTTCCCAAAATAGCAAAACAAAAATGGAACTTCAAACAAATTAATCTAACCTGAAGTTTGCCTTACAATACATTTAACATCAGTCTGTGACATTAGCCACTAGTCCGAACTTGAAGTTTAGCAAATTTTCAGCTGGTCTTAGCTAATAGTTGTTTGAATATTTACACCAAACATCACTCCAAAGGGACAACAAGAAACCAGTTCGGGCTAGTAGACTCAAATGTTTCTGACAGGAGTAAGTCTAATTGGAATAATCATCTCAAAAAAGTCATATTACCTTTTCCGCCTTACATGCAAGAAAAGAAACAATACAATAATTCGACAATTATTTCTTTCTTCACACTTTACAATAAATATTAGTAAAACAGACTCAACCAACAGTGATCTTTTTTTCACTTGAATTAAACTTGGTTTTCATGCTCAACCCAAATATTGGTTCCAGGTCCACGCACCACTCTTATAATGAAAATCCAAAATTACCTTGAAAGAATATCAGCTCAAAAGTGCACAAGAAAGGGGCATATCGAAGTACCAAAAGTCCACACCTACCCACCTAGACTGTTTGAAAATAATTAGGGACACATTGTATCAAACATATTTGACATTACTAGCCTCAGCAATGTCTAAAATTGATAAACATGAACAATCAAGTCTTAATGTTTCCACTCCTCTCTAACTCTATGGCAAACTGCTAAGCTATACATAGAAAGACTGCCAGTGAGTAGTCCTTTATGAAATATTTTCAATGTTAACAGTTGATATGGAACCAATTGTTTGACCATACCAAAATAAGGACAAACACTTTTCTCAAATCAATACAACTTCCATCTAAACTAGTTATCAGAATATTTGATCATTTTGCTTTCTGAAAAACTTGAAACCTTTATGGAAGTAGAAGTTTACATTTAAATTAAGACCTTAAAGTAATTTTGAAAACAATCATATTCTTTCTCCCACCATCAAGTGACTGTCAGAATCAAATTAATGAAATAGAACGTCCATCAGACAACACCTTGCCATGTATGACCATTGATTTATAGAGAAAGAAGGGAAAAAAGCACTTTCCAAAACCTGCCCATGCAAAGCAGGGATCATTGTTAATAACTGTTTCTTCTATTTTACAAATGGAACAACGTATGTAAGTATAAAAATCATACTCTGAACGTAAATCAATGCTCATGCTAAAATTTAAGAAGAACTTTGTATGCATAATGGAGAATCATTTTCCCAAAAATGTGTTACATTTTTGTAAACAAACACCTGTTATACTCATGCCAAATTTGTTGCAGGCATTCCAAGAAGTTACCTTCTAAAACAGTTTTTTCCCCCCTGAAAATATGAACACCATTATACTTGTAAAAAGAAATTAGAAGAAATAGGTTTTCAAAAACTCTTCCTGTTACAAATAATTTGAAGTGGCACTAATGGAATTAGGAATGCTAGTGAAATCTATGACAGGAGCAAGATCACACAGCTGTGATGTATTAGCAGTATGTGAAAGAAATCATCCCCTGCTGGGAACGTGACATGTTACGTGATGTGATGTGAGATTCTATGGTATCATGAGCGATGGACTGCTTACCGATTCCACAGCATCCTTGTCAATGTTTCAATCTACACAGTCCAGATTTTTAACATCTATCATGAAAATCATGACAACAACAAAAAAAAAAGAAAGAAAGATGTTTGACTGAGTCCTAAAAATCAACACGTTAGAAAAGAGTGGGTTTAAGAGACGGAACTATTGACAGCAATAGCAGCAGATAGCCTGTCTACTTGAACACGCAAAATGTGTCCACTAAAACACCATTACCAAAACGATGTCGGGGTGTCCCAAAAACTTTAGACAGCTGAAAATAATTAAACCAAAAAATCAAAATTAAATCATATGTGCGACCTAATTAACCATGAAAAAAAAACCATATACTGATAAGAATTGCAAACGGGCAAACAAGTGACAATGGGTGGTCTTGTCTAGTTGATCAGAAACATCCACTACTTTGGTCTTCAGTTTTTTTGCTGTTAAAGCTAGCAGTCAAGAGTTGAGAAAAATATGGACAGAGGGGCACACTGACATCCAAATACTGTTCCAAGAAAATGAACATGGCATCATGGTAGACTAAGAGAGTTTAAAACAATGATGAAAATGATGCTATAAATCGAAAAGTCCATGCTAATGTGACAAACTTCAATGAGAATCCTGTGACAGACAGATAGTAGAAAAGTGAAATTATTTCTTCCATTAGTGTGCTAGTTCTCCAAACTGGTCACAGGTGAATGACATAACAGCACACTGTGTTAGATTTCAAGTGGTATCAACTGTGTGGACTATGTGATAGTTACAGAGTGATGTGATCATTGCCTTGTGAGCAAACACCAGTCTGTGATTGGGTTCATTCTGCTTCTAGTCAGCTAGAAACAAAATAAGCAAATCAAGCAAAAGGGATTAAATGAAAGTAAAACTATCCAAACCACTGAAGACCAAGTCCTACCAGATAAATGGTTGCTGCTACCGATTGCAACTCTGGAAGGACAAAAGATGTCATCATTTTCTGCATTAGTACTGTTCACTTCCATAGAGCACTACAGCATTCGAAGGGTAATGCCAAAGTCTGTACATCAATTCAAATTGTCCCTTCTTCAGACACCCACAGATAAGGTGAAAGGAGCAAGGAAAATCTGGCACATATATTGAAGACATGCATATTTATCTTTGTAACAAAAGTCAAACACCAGCAACTTTAAAGATTTCATTAATGCTGAGTTACTTCATGAAGAGTTACTGCAAGATGTAGAGTAAGGATGACCTAGTATTACAATAACTCTCCATGAAAGCAGAACTACTCAATGAAACCAACAAATATTTCGAGGAAAAACGTGTACAAACTGACAACCCTTACATGCATACTGGCAGAACCATACATCGTTTACTTACTGTTCAATAAGCATAGTTCTCTCATAATGTCTTACATAGAAGACACATTAATCACCATAGAAACAGAGGTTCTATACAAGTCAAAGGAAACCTTGACAACTAACGAAAAACAAAGAGTTCATTTAATTTCAGACATCAGAGGAATTATATAAAAAAGCGTCTCCTACACTTATAAAAGACGTCCAAATGAACATTCAGACAAACAAACCTCTGAACTACTAGTTAGACAAGGGGTGGGTTACTCACAATAAAAGCTGGAAAGAATCACTTATGTGTGTCTATCCAATTGTTTAATAATCTACAGCAAGCACAAGCAAAACATCAGCAGACAAGGCATCAACTGTGCTTTTCAAACAAGCACATAGCAATATTCTGCTCGGTCATGTCACAAGCAAACTGACAAGGACTTTCAAGTCAAATTATTCACACTAATTATGAATGAAAACAGGTCATTGTGAGTCAGTGTGAAGGAAGACAGACTGGGATGAAATGACTCCATGTCAGTGTGAAGAAATACTGAAACCTTTTGTTGCATCATCATTCAATGATAATGCAAGTGTTAATGAAATCACATGATATTTCAAACAGTCTAAGTGAGGGTAGGTGTACAAGGAAATAAAGAGGGGAAAATGTGGAAAGAAAACTGAATTCATCCATCCATGAACAAATGATGCCAACATGGAATTAGTTTCTTTGAATGGTTTTGAATCATAATGCGTAACCTTTCTTGTGGCTGAAAGAGTTATATCCCTTGGTACACGATGGTCTCCCTTTACTCAATGATTTTCAAAAGTGATGCTCTGATGTAATCAACTGAGCTGTACACATAACAATTGTTCTTAACAATAACTACATTTAACAAATCCTAACAATAAATGCAATCAACATTACAATAAAGGATCTTCCTTTCTGTCAAATTCCATCTTAACAGATATTGAAACAGATGTCCACACGATGTGAAAATCAGGTTATAATTCCAGTACCAAATGGCTGCAAAATGAGTGGCGCCGTCACTACGGTAGCGAAACAGCTGCCTACCTCCTTAGCCTCGTTTTCCAATTTTTCCATGGTAAGGTTCATGTCCCCCTCCTCCTCTGCCGTGTTGTTGGGTACCGGTGAGTTACCGGGGTTGGCCGACATATCCGTCGGTGTGGTACTCCCTAATGATCTAAACTATAATAAAAAAAGAAAACATTTGAGGACTCGACTGTCCCCCCTGCTAATAAGCTGCACTCTCTTTTAGTGAAGCTGGATACTGCGACAAGCAACGAGACCAAAACACTGCCACTAACAGAAGCAGAAATTGCATCCAGGTAGATAAGCATGTTCCACCTTTTAATCTCATTCACTGCTTACTGGTTTCCCCTAAGACTTTTTGAAATGAAATATAATGAGGGTGAGAAGTTATAAAAGTTCTACAAACAAATTCTAAGGTGTAACACAACAGCAATTCACACACATACATGCTCATAATTACATTTCTTGGATGTTATTAACAAACTGCTTCATTGAAATCATTGTCAGTGTTGTGTTGACAAATAAAGAAATACATGCACAAACAATGGTAACTTAAACAAATGTCTGATTCATTCCCATTCTGAGTGATGAAATTTACAATCAGGGAAATGGTAAACTCAAACAGGCTCCATGCTGCGTGCAACACGATCTACTACACTTTGGCAGATTACCTAGCATGCTTCATGTTGCCATGGAAACAGACACCAGCTGTGCTCAATAAGAATAGTTAACAACAAACAATGCACTGATATGAAATTCAGTTACGTCAAAATGTTGGATTATTAATCAATAATTCCCTGACCTAAATCCCATCTGCACCCTCTCCACCTTGAAAGTTAAGTTAAATATACAAACACAGGTAACAAAATGTTGTCTCGGACTCTGACTAATGTAGACACAATCCCATGCCAACAAATATAGTACTTCCACTATCAGAAGTCCTTCCCCTAAATACTGACCGGTGTTATCTAAGTGCTGAGATACCGCATGATATAGGGTAACTATGGATCAAACATAAACAAACAAGGTCACATTTTGAGAACAAAAACCATTATATTACTTTAAAACTACAAATTACTGTCACCTTTAGGGTAACCTTATTGATAACATATACCGACTGAGCACCTGTGCCTGAATCTTGTTTCTATGCCAGCACTTGAATGCAGGATTCTGCCATCAATGTCAGTGCACACCTACCTGTGGATTGTCCTTGGCCAGGGTGTGGATTTTGGTCCACGCCTCTTCTCTTTGTTTGTTTTTCTCTTTTCCCTGAAAGAATCACCGATACTTAGCAAAGTGTTGCCTGTATATTTTCCTTATTCCTGGTAGGTGAATTTATTACTACAAAATGATGCAGTGAGAGAGTGTAACTTTGTTTTGCCAGTAGTCATTCCAGCGACATCATGTAAACCAAACCAGTGGTTGAAAGGATGAGCATCGGCTTATGCGGCAGGAATAATACTTGAGTGAGTGAGCGAGTTTTGGTTTTACGCCGCTTTTAGCTATATTCCAGCAATATCACGGCAGGGGACACCAGAAATGGGCTTCACACATTGTACCCATGAGGGGAATTGAACCCGGGTCTTCGGCACGATGAGCGAACGCTTAAACCACTAGGCTACACCACCGCCCGAATAATACTTGAAATATGAATACCTTTTGCTTCTTCTCAGAGGAAGAGTACGCCTACCAATTATTCTGCAAGTCTCAGAAAGTCTTTTACATTAAAATCTGAGAAGGGGAACCTACTCTGTCTGAGAGACATCACTGTTGATGGATGCAAATTGCAGTGCCAGTTTAAGTTGTTGTTTATTTGGCTCTCTCACCAACCATATAACTTTTCAACTGAATCAGTTTTTCAATCTTGCAGCCATACCATGATGAAACGTTAGAAATGTAATGACAAAACTGAGAATGTATTTCACCTATACACCGCCACAATCAAAGTGAGGTTAGTTGTAAAGCTAAACATGGTATTCAAGATGTGGTTGGGTGGTTGGTTGGTTGGTTAGTTGGTTTGTTGTTAAACGCCTCACTCAGCAAAATTCCAGGTATATGCCAATGGTCTATATAATCAAGTCTGGACCAGACAATCCAGTGATCAACAGCATGAGCATCGATCTACGTAACTGAGATACGATTACATGTGTCAACCAAGTCAGTGAGCCAGACTACCCGATCCTGTTAGTTGACAAGCATGGGTTGCTGAAGACCAATTCTAACCCGGATCTTCAGAGTTATTCAAGATGTGAACGTGCATGCACATGTGTGTGACTGCCAGTAACAATAAATTCCATATTGATGCTGAAAGCTATGAAAATACAAGCACCCACTTCTGTCTCTCTGCCTTGTATTGCTGAGTGCAGTCATCAAACAGTTTCTGGTTCATCTCCATGAAGAGCTTCAGAGCATTGTAGATCAACCCGTGTATTGTCCTGCAACCAACCATGCCTCAATTACAACCCAGCATAAACCATGTTTCTTTGACAAAACAGCTCAAATATTCAATAATAAAAACACGATTGCGAATGATTTAATAACGTAACACTAGCATTTAACAATCTGCTGATTTGAAACAAAGACATACTTTACGACCAAAAATTGACTATAGTCTTACATTAAGTCAAGTGTGCAAGACATGGTTTTGACAACATTCAGTACATATATATCCCTACACAGCTGTTGATGTGAGAATCTACATGCGCAGCACTCACACACAAAAACATCAGCTGCAATATCATGCCATCAAAATAAAGATGATTACTGTAGAACCACCTTCATGCTAACCAAAGTGGTAGTAGAGCAACCAAAGTAAAGGTATCAAATCTTGTCAGTGAATCAAAACATCAACTGATTGAAGGTATTACATGAATGGCAATGTTACGCATGGAAGTTTTGATTCCAGGTTTTTCTTATGACTTTTGTGATAACAGCTGGCTAAAGAATGAACATTAGCTTCCATAATCAATCTGCTAAATCAGCTTTATATATCCAGCTTTTGGTGGTAAGATGAAGCTTGCATGAATATTAATGCGCATCTGTACCCTCCCTACCTATGCAACTTGAGTTAGTGAGTGGAAATGGTTTTACACCGCTTAAGCAATATTACAGCAATATCGCGGATGGGGAAACCAGATATGGGTTTACATTATACCCATGTGGGGAATGAACCCTGGCCCTCAGCGTGATGAGCAAATGCTATGACCACTCGGCCACCCCACTGACCCCAAAAGCAAAGTGATTAAATTAGCATATTCAGCGTCAACTAACGCGCATAATGTTAGCAGCTTACTTGTTCCAATGCTCCTTGCTCTTGTAAAGAGCGGGGAACATGATTGGCAAAACGGCAGAGGCATTGTCACTGATCAAACTCAAGATGTACTCGTTATTCCAAAAATACAGTGCTCGCTTCGGCAACCTGGACGATGAAACAAAAATAGCAAAAGAACTGATGACAAGCATGACAATGGATCCAATACAGAGGTATGTATGACAGATATGTATATATGTACGAGGTAGAATCACTCATGCAATGCAGAGCATAGAGACACATGGGGAACTGAAAGAAAGAAGTCCAAACTCAAATCATGTGAAAAATGTATGGCTTATCTGGCACCTTTACATAATGGGGCTCCATGTATTAGGATGGAAGGACTTCAGGCAGTCCTTGATATACTTGTGCAAATTTTATACAAATGAATCAAATCTGTCACTAACAATAGGAATAGAAGACAGCAGTCTGTTTCATCGCAAACACTGAACACTGGACCAATAAATGTTCTTCAAATTTTTGAATTTAGAACACATTTGGCAAATTATAATCTTAAAAGATGCACAAATGTTTATGCCCTTTTTCCATGCTGTATTAATCTGCATATTAGAAGAGAGATTTCTAATTCAAGGTAACTGGTAGGCGAAACCAGTTAGAGTTGTTTTCAATAAAATAATTGATTCCTGTCATTAGGGAAAGTAACAGAAATAACGAGGCCATTTTGTGCCCCTTGACGGACTTCCCCCTGAGGTAAAGGCATCAGATGTGGCCTGGGGAGCCTGAGGCAGCGCTCTTTCAGGCAAGGCAGGAGGGGAGCGGTCACCATGGAAACGAGGCATTGTGCACAGACAACCAGGTTCAGATATGAAATGGCTGCAGCTTACCTGAAACTCCAAAATGACAATTCCTCCAATGAGGAATTTTTAATAATTGATGTCATTTCAACTGAATTTCCATCGCATTTAGATTCCAAAGGTTTGCATATTCATAGATTGACTGCAATGATAAATGATTTGAATTTTTTAAAAGATTTTTGTTCATGGTTAGAATGCTATTTCAAGAGTGAAGAATAAGAAAAAAAATATGGAACTTGTTAAAGAATTTTCAAACTTCTGGTTGCAAGAATACTGCAGGCAAACCATCTCCAACCGAAAGTTGGCATGCACGCATGTAGGGATGGCTGGACGGACGGATGGACATAAGTACGAAAGTAGGGTTAGGAAGTGACCAATCTTACTTGTTCCAATGTTGTTTGGTCTTATAGAGAGCTGGGAACATTACAGGGAGGATGGTACTAACATTGTCGCTGATTAGACTAAGGATGTACTCATTATTCCAGTAGTACAGAGCCCGCTCTGCAACCTGCAAATACAGATAGCTTCTCTTGTTTAGTCCATAGTACATAGGACACACACAGGGCCTCAACTACACACACTGGGTAATGGGCTACATAAACACTCCTCTCAGCCTCCTTGAGGAATGGTGACCGCGGGCTGCAATAGGATAACAACATCAGGAATGGCCACAAGACAATCCATGGAATGTTCTTTTTGGAATGTTTGGAAACATGCATTAACTATGTCAACAATTTATTGCAGAGTTTTCCTAGTGACTTGTACGATAACATTTGATAATAATGTTTATATTACATTTACTGCAGTTTTTGATTATTGTATGGTCTATTGTGAACTGCCTGCTATGATGCTGCTATGAAGATGAGGGCACAAATACCTGGAAGTGTGGACTTGAGACACATTTGGCCAGTTGTTTGAAGAGAGGACCCATCACCTTGGTGAACTCGGCTGGTTCTATCACATCAAGGATCTCCTCGAGCTCATTCAGAAACATCACCTACAACAATCCCACCAGAACTGTACCATGGGCCATGTTGAATCTCTGTCATTAATTACACAGTTCCCAATACCTAAACTTGCTTAATGTATAACTACTTTCCTTAATAGCAAAAAGATGTTTCACGTCAATGTTCGTTAAATATTTCCCATTGTTCTGTACTGAGTAAAACAGTTATGACACCTACCTCTTTTGGACTGTGCACTTTGGGCCAGAATTTCAACAGCCCCATGATAACCTAGAAACAAAATATTCTGAAGAATATGGTCCCGTCTCTATGCAGGTAACATTTTCATTTCATTGAAATGATCACAGTTTGGCTTCTATACAGAAAAACATTTCAGACCGTGTCCTTTGTAAAGCCATGAAACCTAGCCAAGTTGTGCTAGGACACAGGAATAGCTGAGGTGAGCTCATAGTAGCAGTATAAAGAGTTACCATGCAACGGTTTAACTTGGATTCTCTCTTCTAACACAGTACACTGACTAATAGTCAAACAATCTTTGTAGTGGGTGAGTTGCTTTTAGCAATATTCCAGCAATAACATGGTGAGGGATAACAAAAATGGGAACTGAACCCAGGCTTTTTTGTGTGACAAGCTGGCACTTAAACCAATAGGCTAGGCTAGGATTTCTATACATACTGTTGTAATGGTTATCGTTAATCCATAGTAAATATTGAGTTGTGTCAAAGTGCAATGATTTGTGGAAAGATGCCCTTGAGATTGGACTCCAAACTGATGTCCAGAGTACTCAGCAATGCTTTAGAGCCTGACAGTATGCTTAATCGCTTTAAAAGCCAGGTAAGAGAGCTCTACTTCCTGAGGTGTAATGGACCCGTTGTGTAATGTCTTAGAAGTAGCTGATGTACAGATCTGTAGTCACAAAAACTGCCCATTCAGGATTTATTGAGCCACCCATTGTAGATCAATTACTGCTGTTCCAACTCTAACAAAAGGCTTCACATCTTGCATTAAAGGTGAGACCCTAGTCAGGTGAGGTGAAACTAGGTTCAACGTGGCATTATTGTACTTGCATATGCCTTGTTTGTGTAGCTGCTTGTAGTACTGCAGATGTATGGCAGTTTTATAGAGCTAGCCTACGGTACCACAATTAACAAGTACATACTGACGCCCTACCAACCCCTGCCAGTTTCGATGTCCTCTCATTCTGCCTACAGCTAAAAACAACACAAGTCATGGTCTGTTGGTCACAACTGTGTAGGCAGAATGAGAAAGCGATAGATAATACTTGACCCTACCTCCCCACAAGAAAAAATGGAAGAGCTTGATTTTTTTGTGTCTTGTTTTTTTGTGTGTGTCTTTGGTTTTTTGTTTGAGTTATTTTGATAAGCGGACTGCTTGATTCTTCGTTGTTATATGGACATTCTTATGTTTTTGTTACTTACTGTTTTCTTATTAAATACACAATGCCATTTTAGAAAGTGGTCAAATGTAACATATTGTTACGGTTAATACTTTGCCGTGACAAAAGCGTGTAAAAGTCCCCTTTGAACCAGCAAAATAGAACACAGACAAGCACCAGAGAGGGTAACTAGTTCAATCAACTAACTGCTTTTGTTATGATGTGGCCAGGGGTGGAACCACCCAGCTTCTGCTCCCTTGACAGATGCTCTCTATAAATAGCCAACAGAGGCAGTCAGTGGCACCCACACCAATGTCATGTCATGGAAACACTGTGATGCACAAGGCATTGTTTCTCCATAAAAGTGAGTTTAGTTTTACACCACACTCAGCAATATTCCACCTATATGGCAGGGGTCTGTAAATAATCGAGTCTGGACCAGACAATCCAGTGATCAACAGCATGAGCATCGATCGGCGCAACTGGGATACAATCACATGTGTCAACCAAGCCAACGAGCCTGACCACCCGATCCCGTTAGTCACCTCTTAAGACAAGCATGGGTTACTGAAGATCATTCTAACCCGGATCTTCACGGGTCTCTCCATAAAACATACTATTCCATGACCAAACATACTGAAAAAAATCCGCTGGAAGAAACATGAACTTACTGGTTCTGTGAGACTGGGGTCTTTCTCTAGGAACTGCACCACACAGTAGGCCAGCTGAGGGTGGTACACACTTAGAGATTTCACCTTATGCAGAGGGAGTAATACTTTCAGCAAGAATACTTTGTGCTCTTCCTTCAGGGGAAGAGCAAACCCATTTATTATACTGAAACAAACATGAAACAGCTTTTTAGTCAAATGAATTCGGAATAATCATGAGGCAAAGACATTATCGTAGCTCCAATCAGATGTCTGCCAAACAATAGTGTCAATACACTGAGTCCTCAATACTTCGCTCTTCGATATACCGCTATCAAGACAGTGTACTTCTTGCCTCCCAAAATTTCATCAAGAATCTTCATATTAAGTCAGTGTATGAATAAGCCAAAAACCCAGCCAGACATCAGCCCAAAAATCCATTTAACCAGACCAGACAATCCAAAGAAAATAACTCAATTCTTAGTGCTTAGTGCTAGTTCAATGTTCAAACAGTAATTGTCAAGTGTAAATGTAACGCTCAATTTGAAGAATAGATTTCAAGATATGTTGCATTTACTCAGATGTATGGAATGTGTTATCTAAAATTTCTAACAGACCATCGGGCTGGCAAGCTGTAAATATAGACCGTCCGTCCGAAATCTGGCCATATTTCATACACTGATAAATAAAAAGTGTAAACAATCTGTATTTTGCTTTGGTTGTGAAGGTCTGGCAATTTACTAGCATAAAATCAAATAACAGTTACACGGATCTTACACTGCATTGTTTGATTTAACACCCATCTCAGCTTATGATTGGTAAGATAACATGTTTACAGGAATAGCAACAGGAAAATCTATTTTCAGCTGAATACTTAATATTGTGTCATCGAATGGGGGGGTTCAGACTATTCACAGAATTGATCAATTTGAAACAAAATTGGCGGAAATCTAAAGATCAGCGGAAATTTGCCATAACTGTGTTTTGTCTTCCAACTTTAAACTGACCATGTGTAATGCATTGCCAAATGATGCAGTGGCTTTCTGTACTTAATCCAGACTTGACAAACCGCTAGGGACCCCAAAACAACAACTGAATCTGTACATATCTAAAGTGCATACATGTGAGTTGGCTGTGTTCGTGGTTTATCCATAACTTTGATACGTCATCACATATTAGCCAATTACAGCTTTGGTCTGACATTAGTTTTGTTTCATGGCCTGTCTGGCCTATTAGTGCACTGTCATCAATACATTTGAGAGATTGGCAAGAGGACATTTCAGAAACAGAAAAAAAGGAATACAATGAGTATTTCCATCTATATTACGACATTCATTTTAAAAATAATACCATGGATCATACATATAAATATTGTTTTATTTAGATCTATGCATGCATGTTTACATAGAGCTACACTCATGTCACTATAACAAGGCGATAATCATGTTCTATTTACTATGATGTAATGTGCCTTGCATATCTGTATAATTCTCCTTATAAGGGAAAAGGGTTGGGACCTTGGCTCCCGATGACAGCAGTATATTGAGGACTCACTGTATTTGTCAATAAAATGTAAGGTAGACATCAACGGAACACACATTGGCACAATTTCTTAATACTCGTTTCTTCATAATTTCAGCCAAGTTTTAAACAATAATTACAAATGAACAAAATACACATTTGATTATACAGGACAGTCCTAACCACCCAAACCAGGATACTTTATACATGAGGAAATCCATACATAACATCAGTAAACAACAAGCCTCATTCTATGAAGGTAAAGCCTTTCTGTCAGCCTAATCAAGGTTGTGTTCTAACTTATCATCAATCAATGACAGTTTGATGGACGTATCAGGAAATGAAAAAACACAGGGCCCCTCTCAATCAGCTCACTACTTACAGGCACTTTCATCTCAGTGCACATAGATTTTAGCTGAACTTTAAGAACTCCAAACTGAACAATTAATGTACATACTGAAGGGAAAAGAGTTCAGTTCTACCAGCATCACCACTTAACAGATACAGTTTCTAACCACAGTAAACTGCGATTAGAACTGTAGCATAAAGTCACTTAGTCTATATTAACAGATGTCAACCAATGACCCATCTGGACAATGTCATAGATTTTTTTATCAATATTCTAAAGGCAAAAACACTAGGAGAGAATTCTCAAACCATACCAAATTCTACAGAACAGTATGTGAGGTTAGGCTGACATAAGACTACCGTCAGAGACTAGAATAACAGTTTTCATCAAAAACAAACTATTTTAAGGAAAATGAAGCAGAAACAATTCACTCACCTTCCCAAGATTTCTAACAATTCTGCAATACCATTATGATGCTCTGTTTCATAAATAAACCTGGAAAAAAGACTAAAACACCTTACCAGAAGGAAACAACTGGCAACCATCCAATGGTATAAAATTAAGCGCAAAATTGAGGGCTTGCTTTTTAGTCATAGATACACATGCTATATTATAAAAGAATTTGGAAATTCCATATCATATTACACATATTTCATGATATACTATATGATCAGGAAAACAATAACCTGTTACATTACAGTGAGTGAGTGAGTGATTATAGTTTTATGCTAAGGGCGCCAGAAATGGATTTCACACATTGTACTCATTTGGGGAATCGAACCCAGTTCTTCAGCTTAAGGAGTGGACACTTTAACCATTAGGCTACCCCATGGCCCCCTGTTACATCTAGGTAGATCAGTTTTGGTTACACCATTCCATGTAATAAAACATCACCACAATATCCTAGGTAGACACAAGATGAAATGGTCCCTAGTGTTCAGATAATCCATCATAATAGAGTTATGAGGCCCGGTAACTCACTTTAATCTCACTTTGCAATCAAACTCGAATGTACATTAGTAACAGTTTCATTATCTAAAGAAGTTCGAGAGTCCAAACAAATGCATTTGTGTGGATCTATTATGTATCACATGCATCATTCCATGTGAAAGGTTTGTATTACTTGATCAAGTTAAATAACAAATTCTTGGTATGATATCAGTGCTACCATAAGCTTTATATTAGTTATTTCTAGAAACAGTTACTGTCATGTGATGTCAAAAATGGATCATTACAAAAATGTACACATTCCTTGTACATCAGATTTCAGCCAGTGCCAAAATGATTTTTGATGCAAAAGCATTTTCAGATTCTAGTGTTATTATCAGCTATCACTACTTAACCACTTAGACCAAGCGGAAGTTTACTAGACTCAGGTTTTGAGCTGGTGGTTAAAGTCATAGACTGAAATTTCACAATGATATATAAGCGATGACTGAGTAATAGGCAAACTGACAATTCAATGTCACTTCCGAGTCACACTAGAAACTGGATCTATATTCTGTGGGAAAAGTTTATTGTAAACACTGTGTTGGGATCATGCAAAGTTTTAACAGGCATTTAGAGAGGAATTGTTAAATATTGAACCTGTGGTACAGGTGACTGAACAATAACATCACAACTTGACATTAATAATCATTATGCCTCAATCTTACTAAATAATGTCTAAAATCTTATTAGATACTTACCTATAAAATATGTTATTAATTTGTTTTCGTATGTATGCCCGCAAACCCAGGAACTTTCCGTATATCCTGTGTAATATTGTTTTCAAGAAATCTCGTTCCCTGGGATCTTCACTATCAAATAAATCAAGAAGCTGAAACAAGAAACACAATAAACTTAGAAATATATATGTATTTGTCACGAGCAAACTTCTTTAGTGACTGTCAAAACTTTAATCCAAAATTCAATGCTCTGTAGGCACCCAAGTATAACAATTCAAGAATAACAGTTCGAAACAAATGGGTCCTGTTTTTTTTAAGCTGGAGTTTTTAATCTAGACATTTCCTAAACGGTGCGCCTTTTAAACACAAGAGTTATGAGGGACCCTTCCACTTTCATGCCAAACTCTAAACCATGTACAGCAACTTTGAACAATAATCATCATAATTGTACTGTTACAACATATAGCATACATTCCAGAAAGAAACCTTAAAAACAACTCCATCCATCCATCCAACCATAATATCTAGAGGTGAGATCATGCATTTACCCAACTTGATAACTGACTATATTTCAAGCATGCACAGATTGTATTTACCTGCAGGACAAACTTCTGATCTATGTATCTCTTTGCTGTATTTGGTTGAAAATCTGGAGACTCCAGAAACCGGAGGAAAAACTCATACACCAGCTGAAAAACAAAATATTATCGTAAATATTGATGACATTGAAGAGACACAGCTAGAAACATATTTGGGTTCTTTCTATATGGGAGAACTTCCCCCATCAGACTCAACATACCGTAGTTAAGGTCTTAATAACATCTTGCCTTTCAGGGGTATGCTGTATGCTAATTGGAAGTATAGTTGTATGTCATTGACGGACAATAGGGCGGCCACATCTGTGGTCAAGTGGACAGATCATCTTGATTTTTCTCTCAAGACTGGCAGGTCAGTACACATAAATTATCTTCTACAATATCTGGAACTGTGTATTAGATAAGTGAAACTTGACAGAAACTGTACTGCCTCAAAATGATTTTGAACTTTTATGAATTTGAATCCCATTGCTTTTTATGAATTCTTAACATGACCATGTTTTGCATTAGATCCCGAGCCTTGTCAGGTTACAATGCTATATTAGTAAAACAACTGAAAGCCTTTGGTTTTCATTATGAGAGCGAGCCCTGATGCTATGTGAAATTGGCCAAGGACAAAATTTCATGACACTGGTACTTTCACCAATGCTAAAGTTATTTCCCTATGCTAAGTGCCATATAAGGTGAAGGATCTATCAACACAAACCTGTAGGTGTGGCCAGGCTGCCTCTAGAGTTGGTTCATCTTCCTGTCCTCTAGAGTTTGGTTCATCTTCCTAAGATAAACACAAGGGTCAAACTCAGTGTATACCCACTCTGATCTGGTAACACTCACCATGCACTTGACACATAGTATGAGTGGCAATGATAATCTAGATCTGAATGAGATACAGCACTTGACATTTAGTATAAAGTTATCAATGATAATGCTAGATCTGAATGAGATACTCACCATACTTGACATCATAGTGTAAAGTTATCAATGATAACACCTAGATCTGAATGAGACACTCACCATGCACTTGACATCATAGTATAAAGTTATCAATGATAATGCTAGATCTGAATGAGATACTCACCATGCACTTGACATCATAGTATAAAGTTATCAATGATAATGCTAGATCTGAATGAGATACTCACCATGCACTTGACATCATGGTATAAAGTTACCAATGATAACACTAGGATCTGAATGAGATCCACACCATGCACTTGACATCATGGTATAAAGTTATCAATGATAACACTAGGATCTGAATCACCAGCATTCATCATGGTATAAAGTCATCTCACCATGCACTTGACATCATGGTATAAAGTTATCAATGATAACACTAGGATCTGAATGATTCCACACCATGCACTTGACATCATGGTATAAAGTTATCAATGATAACACTAGGATCTGAATGTATTCCACACCATGCACTTGACATCATGGTATAAAGTTATCAATGATAACACTAGAAACTGAATGTAATACTCACCATGCACTTGACATCATGGTATAAAGTTATCAATGATAACACTAGGATCTGAATGTATTCCACACCATGCACTTGACATCATGGTATAAAGTTATCAATGATAACACTAGAAACTGAATGTAATACTCACAATGCACTTGACATCATGGTATAAAGTTATCAATGATAACACTAGGATCTGAATGTATTCCACACCATGCACTTGACATCATGGTATAAAGTTATCAATGATAACACTAGACACACACTCGATGCACTTGACATCATGGTATAAAGTTATCAATGATAACACTAGGATCTGAATGTATTCCACACCATGCACTTGACATCATGGTATAAAGTTATCAATGATAACACTAGAAACTGAATGAAATACGATGCACTTGACATCATGGTATAAAGTTATCAATGATAACACTAGGATCTGAATGTATTCCACACCATGCACTTGACATCATGGTATAAAGCTATCAATGATAACACTAGAAACTGAATGAAATACGACGCACTTCACATCATGGTATAAAGTTATCAATGATAACACTAGGATCTGAATGTATTTCACACCATGCACTTGACATCATGGTATAAAGTTATCAATGATAACACTAGGATCTGAATGTATTCCATACCATGCACTTGACATCATGGTATAAAGTTATCAATGATAACACTAGAAACTGAATGTATTCCATACCATAATAAAGTTACAATGATAACTAGAAACTGAATGAAATACGACGCACTTCACATCATGGTATAAAGTGATCAATGATAACACTAGGATCTGAATGTATTCCATACCATGCACTTGACATCATGGTATAAAACTATCAATAACACCAGAAACTGAATATAATACTCACCATGCACTTGGCATCATGGTATAAAGTTATCAATGATGACACTAGGATCTGAATGTATTACACACCATGCACTTGACATCATGGTATTAAGTTATCAATGGTAACGCTAGGATCTGAATGTAATACTCACCATGTGTATAACCTCTGGGTAAATGGCATCTGTGATGACACCTCTGTTCTGGGTGACATACTCCACCATCTCGTTGAGAGCTGCCCTTTTCACTTCCTTCCATTTCAGATCACTCAGTGGGTCTTGCACGAAGTCAAAAAGCACACAACACTGGCGGATCTTCTGCACAAACAGCTCCTCCCTCTCAGCCGGCGTTGCCTCTGTAAACAGCAAACAACATGCAATCAAAATTACGTCAGTGAGTTGGTGAGGACTTCACAGACCATTTCATGAAATGTAATCTTCCCCTGCCAATATCCATGTACAGTAGACACTTGGTCCACACTACCAATGGCAAAGATAGATCCTGTAGGGTAAAAACACCTTGAAGGTCAGATCAGAATAGGGGTGGTGGGGTAGCCTAGTGGTTAAAGCGTTCACTCGACACACACAACCTTTGTTTAATTCCCCACATGGGTACAAGTGTGTAGCCCTTTTCTGGTGTCTCCTGCTGTGATATTGCTGGAATATTGCTAAAAGCTGGTAAAACTTAACTCGTTCGGATCAGAGCAAGTCGACAGTCCGTAAGTCTGTGACAAGGAAATTTAGGAATGACTACTGATTCTAACTTGGAGACTACAAGATAAGCACTGGCTAGATAACAACTCTGTAGCAGATTACTAATATGGACAGTAAGATAGATATTAGTTTCTAGTCCTCTTTCCTGTCAACTAAGTGTCAGCTTCTATAGGAATATGTTAGTCCTGCATTGTGAATGACTGATTGTATGTCATCGTACCCCGATAACATGGGATTGTTGTTCAATCCAACAAAACTATGACAGCCTGTCAAAATGTCACGAAAAAATTCTACATACAATCTGTTATTAACTTTCAACCATACACACTAATGAAGACTATTTCAGGCATATTTGTCATAACAATTATTTAGTTGACAACATCTTGGTTTCAAATTTGCAGCAACAGGTATACCATTTCCAAATGTTTGCGATGTCACAGTGACAATTCACCTCAGTGAGGGATTACACAAACTTAGTGTCAATTTACATCAAGATAGACTGTTAGTAGCAGGAATGTGAATATAAGTGAAACAAGAAAACAGTATCATCACTAAATCCCTGAATCAGGCCGGAAGAATTTTGTGTGTTCATAGTTGTGAAGCATATAGAGTTAATGTTGAAAAGTATGCGTGAAGCTAGGGCCATAACCTTGCAACACTATCAGGGGTGTGAGTCCAGGACAAAATATTATTTATGGCTCAAGTTTGTTTTGTTTTTTACCTCAGTCTTGATAAGTATCTCTTGGATAAGCTTGCACAGGTTCATTTATGATACTTAATTTTTTCTGACAAAACATTTACCCATTGTAAACACTATGCATAGGTAAAATAAGGAAAGACAAAATACTTTCAAAGAAATATTAAAAATATCAAAAGGAACCAGTTCAGAATGTGTTCGATGCACATGCAAATTTCTGCAATAAATTATCAAATGGTTTTGGTTTTATGAATATTTAATTATTAGACCACCCTGCCACTATCAGCAAAAATACTAGTTACATCATCGACTTTGTACATTCCAGTGACTGACCTCTTCAACAATGATTGGGACATGACATTTCAACTTACACCTGCCCTGTATGCCACCTTTGACAACAAGGTGGACTTATATTCTTACTAGATTCCACTGGGTTTGAAATATTGAACACATGAATGAAATGTAAAGATAACTCAATGGGCAAATGATTACATGTGGCAAATTAACATAACATTCAACGGCTATTATGTCAATTGTAACTTAATCCAGTGTACCAGTGCAAAGATTTCATTACTTCTGTTGCACTGACTTTCTATTTACATCTCACATTTACATCTCACGGGGCACGATTCAACCTGCATAAACACTCTCTGTAATCCCTTTCCCTTCTTACAAAACACACACTACCAAAACAACAATGTTGGTGCTTACCACAAGCAAAGACTTCACCTTCTCAAAATCACATATTCAAGAATACCTATCTTACGTTTTTTGTGCTAGAGTGAGTTTGCAGTCTCCAAGGAGCCAGGGTTTCAAGTAGGTTAAATAAGCGTCATGCTTCAGGGATTACACCCTTTCAGACTTGGACTCTGTTCACCCCTCCTACAACAACAGCCAATATAACCAAATGTATTCCCCCCCACGACACAGGAGGCCATACCACTGAACGGTGATCTACTCCTGGCAGTCTAGACTTGTCTGCTTCTTGGAACACTAAACCAGAATCTGACAAACACTAATATTTTCTCATCACAACACATACACTAGCTTCGACATATGGAGTTTGCCAATTTTGAATGTTTTAGAGTAACTTTGTTCTTTTCAAAAATTCATCTTCTTTTGAACTATCACTTTGACACAAAAAACATGGTATAGGAGGAATGTTTCTAATGTTTTTCCTAGTAAAAAAACAAATGTAAATATTATTTATGAAATAATGGTTTGCTGAAACAATAACCATTGACTAGTACACATGCAAATTAAAATAACCTACATGCAGATTTTAAAAAGTATTCACAGATATTAATATAAATAATAGTCCATTTTTGAAAATGAATTAACTGAAAAACCTATGAAACCATTTAACACTTACCTGAAGAACACATTCAAGTTCAAGTGCTCTGAATCTAAATAACTATCAAAATTTAACAAGCACCTCTCACCATGCCTGACTAATTATTCTCAACAACTGGATGTTGACGTCAACCTGATTTAATGCTTAAGAATAAAATACCACAGAAAACAGCTGATGAAATATGCCTTAAAACATCTTTACATACTGAATACAACCAATGACGTAAATGCCATACTACTCCCATTACAGATCTGACAAATCAATAGAATGCTAGGGCAATCTAATTTCAGACTGGAGGTAAGTTGAGCTGATATAGAGTGTTAGCCCACTCAGACACCGAGTAACAGCATAACCTATACCCTCTCTGTGATGAGTACCAGAAATAGTAACGACAATTACCATCTATTAACATCATTTGGTATGACACAATCAAGATAAAACCACACCCCAGGTAGTTATTCTGTACAGCAGACCATGAGGGTGGAAGGTGGGATCATGTCAGGCTGGAAGAGACACTCATACCCGCAAACTCCATACACATGGATCACCAACACCAAGATCACCAACACCAAGATCACCAACACAAAACCATGTTTGATGGTGTACACTGTTGTATACATAAGAATATGTTGTGTTATCAGCATACTAACAAATTTAGAACAAAGACTAATCAAATAAATAAATAATTAACTGTTATCCCTCACCATTTTAACAGCAATACCATTCATCACAGATTCCTGCTTTCCTATGCACCAGATTAAACTATGTCTCATTTAAAGTGTACAATAAACCAGATCAATCATGGCCTTGACAGTAAGATAAAAATAGACAGCAAAGTTAAAATGTGTTTGAGCATAACTATATACAAGGGTATCAATATTCCATTCACTGCAACACACGGGCACATACTTGTACAGAAACAGTGACAGACCATCCAGTAACATATGCATGCTGTCTCAACACAGACTGCCAAATCTCACAGATGGAAGCTTCATCACGGTCCCTGGGCCCCAGATATAGCTCTCACTACACCACTGGCCACAAAATAGAAGAAAACAACATGGAGCACAACGAAGTACCTTTGCAGAAATCTGCATCTAAATTGGTGGCTCGGCAAATCAGTGCATTTGGGGATGGTTTCTCCATCATCTTGACAAAGATCATTCCATGAACATTTGTGACGAGATGATCTTAATTGCTTCCAGCAGCTCGTCTTTAGCCTGGTCAGAAATCCTGGCTGCCTGCAACAGGCGTGCTATGAACGACAACAGAGTTTGTCACAAGTCCACCTACCTCCGAGCGAGAGAAACGTCATTGCAGCACAGTGTTAATCTGTGATATATTCAGTGTCATTCTCTTAACCAACAAGTCCAGTGTGGACACACAAATATTTTTTACAAAGCAGACATGACTCAGTTGTGCTAAACATAGCAACTGTCAAATCCTGTCGAATGAATGTCACATGTAATCAGATCTCATGTTAATAACAACTTGTACATATCAAGACGTTAGGTATTCCTCTAACTGGCAGCTAATGACGAGACACTTGCAAAGGAATTGATTTTCTGAGGTGGGTAGACACTACTATTTCACCTGCGAGTGACTGACGTTGATGGGTTGTAGTGACCATAGCAACTGTCTGACGATCAAACTTTGACAACAAAACAGTTTCTTTCTGAAAAATCTATTCCTAACTTAAGAGCTATCTTTGAAATGTCAGGATCCTTGCTGAGAATGAACATTCTACCACAGTGTTCTTATCATGGAAATACTTACATGCTACAGAGACTTGTGACATCACTTATCCACAGAAACCTCTTTATGGCATTTTAAATGTCAATACATGAATAGATTAAACTGACTCTTTAACATTTGACAGACTTTCCATAATTTTTTTCAGTGAGAATTGAAGAAACTCAGCAACATGTAAGTGGCAATTTTCAATCTCAACGCAAAACATAATTCATAGCACAGAGCAAAAATTATCCTTTGATTGATACTGGGATATACAAGTCAGTCATGTCCACAATATGAAACATACAATGGCAGATAACAGAATATTTGTAACTTTCAAGAACCAACACTTGCAAGAAGGAATCCTTCAGGAGAATGGAAATGTCTTGTTTTCTAATGATTTGCCCATAAATTCCAATTTCTAGGGAGAGTGCCAGAAAAAAAGAGTCGATTTGCCTGATGTTGACAAACTTTTCAGGTTCTTGACAAAGTAGTACCATCAATAACAAACTTTCAGAGGCCCAGATAAGCTGCGTATCCCGGTAAAATACGCATATAAAATTTCCAATTACGCATTGAAAAATAATTGTTGCGTACCATTCACACGCATTTAAAATGTTAGATACATAAAAGTTTAAAATCAAGTTGTAATTGTTAGTATAGGACAAGTGCTGCACTGTCCATTTAGGATGAGGGATTTTTTATGAAATCATTTCCATTATATTTAAGTTGGTTTTGATTAGGTATGACATAGTCATAAGGCAGAACATACCTGCTTAGTAAACTTACTCAGTCACAGAATACTAAGGTGAGTAAAATGACTGAAATACGCACATGTTTGAAAGCAGTGGGTAACG